GTGTGTGGTTACGGTATTGCAAAGTTGAACAATCGTCATCATGTGATGATTCATTCAAGTGATATGGAGAGCGCACAGAGCACAGCAAAAGCTTTTCACCGGTGAGAGAACGATTGGCTATTTCTAAACTTTTCCTAGGCAATTTTCACATGACGCCCCTTAAATCCGTTACCGCTATAACTTTCGTAAATATTTTTTCCTTAATTTTCTCCCAACTATTTCTAGCGCACCTTTGAATGATGGTATTGCCCTCGTTTTCGCTAAGCATCTCTTCTGTCCCTTGTCACGCAATCTTTTGGAATGTAAAGAAAATTAACGCTGTTTATTGTAGGAATTACGGACTGCTGCCTCCAAATTTCATGTCCTACACCTACTCGTGGCGAGATGTAAGTGCTATAACATCTTTTCTAATTTCTTCGCTTAAAGCTATAAGCTAGCAATGCAAAAATAGTTTTTTCTTAAAATCTGTACTCTCATGGAAGTTCATGTACAAATGTATGACGGAAATAGAATTAGACATTAATGTAATTTCGTTACAGCCATCTTTTTTCGCCGATAGAGTGAAGTCAGCAGCTGATTGGTTTGGATCAATTATAGCTACGAATATAGTTGCTGATCAATTCATGAAAGCAGTGAGTTTCTTTCCTCTCCTTTAGAGATTTAGATTTCAAAAGGATAGCTTAAGTTTTTTGTGCACATAATCTTTTTGAAGATATGAAGTCCTTTTTCAATGGTCTAACTGAGTTCAAAAATTCGAAAATATAGGTCTAACACAGTGAGATAAACCTTTTGCTGAAATCGTTATATCAAAGTCGTTAATAATCGGTCCTCATCATCTTTGTAATATTTCGTAGGCAATGACCTGATGGAGTGTCTGACTAGAAATATGATACAACAGGATGCAATTTCAAAAATGGTTGTATCTCTTCTCTGACAGGGAAGGTACCTGGTCGAAGTGGCGATTTGAAATGAGGTAAACAGAGTCGTTAACTTAAAACGCTGATTCTAAATCTGCATTCTATATCTGCGAAGCGCTTTTTTAGAAGAAGTTATGGAGGTTTCTCTCCATCAAAAATGGCTTACAGTTCCTGGATTATAATGCTCAAAAGTTCAAAGTTGTCCCAAAACAGCAGCGCAAAGGCTGATTATTGAAATAAAACACGTCATAATGAAAAAAAAAACCCTTTGCTTGTTGTTCTGGTTGGAATTGATGTTGCAGAGCATTTATTAATGAGGCGCACAAGCTAATTTCAGCATAGAGAAATTCTCATAACTTCTTCCAAAAATACGATTCGCAGATATGGAAGGCAGATTTGTATTCAGTGCCTAAAACTGCATCTATCATTATGCATCTCTTTCTAAATAGTCACTTCGACCAGGCATCCATCCCTTGTTAGTTGTCTGCAAGTAGGCTAACAATAGTTTTGACAAAATAAGCCATAAGATTACGTTATAAGCAGTTCCAACAGAACTTTATTGAGTGTCCATAGACGGAAACCTTGGACTAGAAGTGACAGTTTGTACAGCCTTTTATCTTAAAAAAATTGCAGAACTAATTTTTAGGCGCTATCTCCCATAGTGGAAGAATTCTCATTTTCTGAATTCTGCCGAACCAGCACGTTTAGCTTCACCGATATGCCCGAACTTCTCTATCCTCCAGCACCTCGAACGAATGATGTGAGCAAAGTTCTAAAGAAATTTCTTCATTGGCAGTACAGCCTTAATTATGTCTTTTTCCAGTATTATTCATATGGGTCCTATTGCAAGGAGGGTAGAATGTTATCAAAGGAATTTTACGATTTTGTATCCGATCCTTCTTCAAAGGGAACAATCATCGTAGCGTTTGGCACTATTGTACCATGGGATGCAGCTCCTCTCGACAAATTGCAAGCTTTTGTCGAAGTGAGTAATTTCTACGAATGAGCTTCTTCCCTTAATATTCAACCAATTTGTTTAGGCACTAAATAATCTTAGTGATTATCGCATCGTATGGTCATATAATGGAAGATATATCAATGTGAAAAGCCACATAAAACTTTCCAAATGGATTCCACAGAATGAATTGCTGTTACATAAGAAAACTGTGCTTTTCATTAGTCATGGAGGCCTCAAAAGGTTCAAATACTAATTTTTAACTCAGCATAATTTGCTGCATTCTTCCATTTCCACACTACTTCAGCGTAAAAGAAGCCGCATGTAGTGGGACACCTTCACTATTTATGCCCATGTTTGCTGAACAGATGAGAAATGCTTGGTTGGCGAAAAACAAGGTGAGGTTGATTTCC